AACCACCTTAAACTTCATATGGAACCAAAAGAGAGCCTGCATAGCCAAGTCAATTCTATGCAAGAAGAACAAAGCAGGAGGCATCACACTACCAGACTTCAAACTATGCTACAAGGCTACAGTAATCAAAACAGCATGGTGCTGATACCAAAACAGAGATATAGACCAATGGAACAGAACAGAGGCCTTGGAGGCAACACAACATATCTACAACCATCTGATCTTTGACAAACCCGACAAAAACAAGCAATAGGGAAATGATTCCCTGTTTAATAAATGGTGTTGGGAAAGCTGGCTAGCCATGTGCAGAAAGCAGAAACTGGACCCCTTCCTGACATCTTACACTAAAGTTAACTCCAGATGGATTAAAGACTTAAACATAAGACCTAACACCATAAAAACCCTAGAAGAAAATCTAGACATAACCATTCAGGACATAGGTGTAGGCAAAGACTTCATGACCAAAACACCAAAAACATCAGCAACAAAAGCCAAAATAGACAAATGGGACCTAATCAAATTCCACAGCTTCTGCACGGCAATAGAAACAGTCATTAGAGTGAATTGGCTACCAACAGAATGGGAAAAAATTTTTGCTGTTTACCCATCTGACAAAGGACTGATATCCAAAATTTACAAAGAACTAAAACAGATTTACAAGAAAAAAACAAGCCCATTCAAAAGTGGGCAAAGGATATGAACAGATACTTTACAAAAGAAGACATACATGAGGCCAACAAACATATGAAAAAATGCTCATCATCACTGGTCATCAGAGAAATGCAAATCAAAACTACATTGAGTTACCATCTCATGACAGTTAGAATGGCGAGCATTAAAAAATCTGGAGACAACAGATGCTGGAGAGGATGTAGAGAAATAGGAACACTTTTACACTGTTGGTGTGAGTATAAATTAGTTAAACCATTGTGGAAGACAGTGTGGCAATTCCTCAAGGACCTAGAAATAGAAATTCCATTTGACCCAGCAATCCCATTACTGTGTATATATCCAAAGGATTATAAATCGTTCTACTATAAGGACACATGCACACGAATGTTCATTGCAGCACTGTTTACAATAGCAAAGACCTGGAACCACCCCAAATGCCCATCAATGATAGACTGGATAGGGAAAATATGGCACATATACACCATGGAATATTATGCAGCCATCAAAAACGATGAGTTTGCATCCTTTGTAGGGACATGGATGAACCTGGAAACCATCATTCTCAGCAAACTGACAGAAAAACAGAAGATCAAACACCGAATGTTCTCATTCATAGGCGGGTGTTGAACAATGAGAACATATGGACACAGGGAGGGGAGCACTACACACTGGGTCAGTTGGGGGGAAATAGGGGAGAGACGGTGGGGGGTGGGGAGTTGGGGAGAGTTAGCAAGGGGAAAAAAGCCAGATGTAGGTGATGGGGAGGAAGGCAGTCAATCACACTGCCACATATGTACCTATGCAACAATCTTGTATGTTCTTCACATGTACCCCAAAACCTAAAATGCAATAAAATAAATAAAGGAAAAAAAAAAGCTCCTAGATCTGATAAATGAATTCAGTAAAGTTTCAGGATACAAAACCATCATACACAAGTCAGTAGAACTGCTATATGCCAACAATGGGCAAGCTGAGAAACAAATCAAGAACTCAATCCCTTTTACAACAGCCACAGAAAAATAAAATACTTAAGAATATACCTAGTCAAAGACGTGCAAGGTCTCTACAAGAAAAAATACAAAACACTGCTGGAAGAAATAATCTATGACACAAACAAATAGAAACACATTCCATGCTCATGGATGGGCAGAATTAATATTGCAAAAATGACCAGACTGCAAAAAGCAGTCTACAAATTCAATGCAATTCCCAAAAAAATACCACCATCATTCTTCACAGAACTAGAGAAAACCTAAAATTCATATGTAACCAAAAAAGAGACCACATAGCCAAAGCAAGACTAAGCAACAACAACAAAAAAACCTGGAAGCAACACATAACCTGATTTCAGGAGAGAGAGAGATACACACACACACACACACACACACACACACACACACACACACACACACCATGGAATACTACTTAGCCATAAAAAATGAATGAGACCTACCGCTCAGAAAAAAAGAGTACTATTTTAAAAATAGTATTGCTCATTGGCAGTACATCTAGTTACTGAAGAGTTTTGATGGAGATGTACAAGGAAATTAATGTTGTTTTCATTCTTGCCAACACAACATTCATTCTGTAACATGTGGATCAAGAAGTAAGTTTAACATCCAGGTCTTATTATTTATGAAATACTTTTCATAAGGCTACACTTGCCATAGATAGTGATTTCCCTGATGCACCTGAGCAAAGTATATTGAAAGCTTTCTGGAAAGGAGTCACCATTTTAGATACCACTAAGAACATTTGTGATTCATGCAAGGAGGTAAGAAAAAAAATCAGCAATAACAGGAGTACAAAATAATTTGATTCCAACCCTCCTGGATGACTTGGAGGTGTTCAAGACCTCAGTGGAGGAAATAGCCAGAGATGTGGTGAACTAGAATTGGAAGTGGCACCTCAAGAGGAGACTGAATTGCTGCACTCTCATGATGAAGTTTTTAAGACATGAGGAAGTGCTTCTTACAGATGAGCAAAGAAGTAATTTCTTGAGATGCAGACTGCTCCTGACGAAGTTGTGAACATTGTTGAAATGAGAATAAAGGAGTTAGAACATTTCATAAACTTAGTTAATAAAGTAGTGGCATGGCTTGAGAGGACTGACTCCAATTTTGAAAGTTCTACTGGCAGTAAAATGCTGTCAGACAGCATCACGTGCTCCAAAGAGGTCTTTTGTGAAAGGAAGAGTTCATCAATGTACAAAATTAATTGTTGTCTTATTTTAAGAAATTGTCACAGCCACCCAGCCTTCATCAACCACCAGCCTGATCAGTCAGCAGCCATCAACATGAAGGCATTGACTGATGGCAATCAGATGGTAACTAGATCCACCAGCAAAAAGATTGACTCACTGAAGGCTCATATGATCGTTAGCATTTTTTGGTAATAAAGTATTTTCAATTCAGGCATGTATATATTTTTTAAGACATAGTGCTATTGCACACTTAATAGACTGCAGTTCAGTATAAACACAATTTTTATATGCACTAGGAAACCAAAAAGTGTGACTGGCCTTATACCAATATTCTTTTATTTTGGTGTTCTAGAATTTAATGCACAGTTTTATGGAAGTGTGCTTGTATTTCATAGCTGGATGCCCTTACATTTTTGTTTTCCTAACCTGCAGAATGTGAAATTACAAAGTTTCTTCTTCTTTCTAGTGGATAGAGAACAAGGCTTATCCTCCTGGCATACTTAAATTTGGATTTATTCTGATGGCATCTGCTCATGAACACTTCCCTTGGTGCTTTCTTAAAGATGATCCTGTCTCTTCCTTCTCCTCATCTCACTGTAGTTGTGTCAGGAAGAACAAAGTGGAGTCCAAGACAGCACAGACAGTCCTATTCAGAGAAGAGCCATAAAAGAACCTACAGATTCACTTTCACTTCTACTTTTTTTAAAAATAAGGTTTCCCTTCCAGTTTTCTATAAATAAGATTAATCTTAAGTATTCTTTATGACATGTTTAGACAAAGTAACACATGTTCATTAAGACATATGCCTCATTATCAGGTCTGCCAGGTATATTTTGATTAAGTGCTAAGATGGAGAAGCTTTAATTCTCCCAATGTTTATTAAATTGGTCCCCACTTTGTGTTCTGGTGGTGAATTGTATAAAGAACTAACTTGGCTGGGAGTGGTGGCTCATGCCTATAATCCTAATACCTTGAGAGGTAGAGGTAGGAGAATTGCTTGAGGCCAGGAGGTTAAGGTCAGCCTGGGCAACACAGCAAGACCCCATATCTATGAAAAATTTTAAAAAGCAGTCAGCCGTGGTGGTGCATATCTATAGTCCTAGCTACTCAGAAGGCTTGAGGCAGGAGGATTACTTGAGCCCAGGAATTTGAGGCTGCAGTGAGCTGTGACTGCACCCCTGCACTCCAACTTAGAAGAAAGCGAGACTCTGTCTCTAAAGAGAAAGAGAGAACTAACTTAGTTTTATATCACATTATACATATGGCTTGCTCTGCCTTTAGTCTTGAAATGCCTGGAAGATAGAAACTATAGTTCATCTACCTTTGTCTCCTCGTAGTGGTTCTGCCACTTTTGGACATTTGGCAATGTCTAGAAACATTTTGGTTGTTACAGCCTGGAGAGGACATCTAGTGGGTAAAGGTCAGGAACGTGGTAGACATTCTACATTTCCTACATTGCACAGGACAGCCCCTGCCCCAACAAAGAATTAGCCAGCCCAAAATGTCAATAGTATGAAGACCGAGAAAACTCACTTCAGCATAACAGGTAGCATGGTATACATATTAAGAAATATCAATTTAACTTTTCATAGTGTGTTACAGAGTGAAAGCAACAAATTTAATCTATTTTATCTTTACTTTCTCCTACAGCGACCAGCTCATGTCATAAAACTCATAGTTTTGAAAAAATAAGAGGGAGAAAGTTTTAACCCCTGAATTATCCTGCGGATGCTTATCAGAGCGAACAGGGCTGAGTGCCGGTCTTCATTTCATTGCACCTTACTTTCCTTTAGGACTATGACCTGGTGCACACACGTACGTGCAAGCCTAATTACTTTGCTTTTATACTTAGTGATACTTTTGTTTTATTACGCATATTTTATTCTATAAGTATTTTATAGATAGTTTTGAATTGCTCAACCATTGCATATCGGAGATCTACTCAGGAGTCCTTTGCTGCTGGTTGTACTATGTCATCATAACACAAGTGAAAATTTCAAAAATATTTTTAAAGAATGCAAAGATAGCATTAAGTAGAATCACACCTGTAGGCAAAATCAATTATTTGTAGTAGAGATGAAGAATTGAGTACCTTTGGCTAATTACTATGGAGAAGCTGTTCTCCCAGCCCTCTGAAGGTGTCTGATTCCATGATTTGCCTTGTGATGACTTTGAAAGCTAGGCAAAACTGTAAAATGCAAAAGCCATCAATAAGAAGCAAATTGTTGCAGAGTATCTCTTCCTTATTTGACTCTCTCAGAACTAAATTGAGAAAGCAGTGACATAAGCAAATGTACACCACCTTCCTGACTCATGCCTTTGTTGTCTTGTTCTCCAGAGGAGTCCCGATTCAACTGAAGAAAAGCGTGAATAATCCAACCTGTCCAAAACTCTAAAACTTTATTATTTTTAAGTCAATAATTTTTTTCTTCCTAAAATGCTGGAGTCTGACCTCATTATCTGCTTTCTTCTTGCAGTGATACAATTTCTTCTTGGGATTTTCATGAATGGCATCATTGTGGTGGTGAATGGCATTGACTTGATCAAGCACAGAAAAATGGCTCCGGTGGATCTCCTTCTTTCCTGCCTGGCACTTTCTAGAACTTTTCTGCAGTTTTTCATCTTCTACATTAATCTGGTTGCTCTCTTCTTGATGAAATTAATCATGTATCCTGAGAGTTGTGTAATTGTCATGTTTATAAACGAATTGGAACTTTGGCTTGCCACATGGCTTGGCGTGTTCTACTGCGCCAAGGTTTCCAGCGTCCCTCACCCACTCTTCATCTGGTTGAAGATGAAGATATCCAAGTTGGTCCCGTGGATGATCCTGGGGTCTCTGCTATATGTATCTATCATTTGTGTTTTCCATAGCAAATATTCAGTGTGTTTTGTTCCACACAGCCTCATGAACTTTTTCTCCCAAAATGCCACAATTCAAATAGAAGATATACCTGCTATACAGATTACCTCTGTTGCTGCTGAGCTCTTAGTGCCACTGCTTATTTTCCTTGCTGCTGTTCTGCTCTTGATTTTTTCTTTGGGGAGACACGCCTGGCAGATGAGAAACACAGTAGCCAGTAGCAGGGTTCCTGGCAGGAGTGGCCACATCAGCGCCTGGCTGTCCATCCTGTCCTTCCTAATCCTCTATGTTTCCCACTACATGATGAAAGTTTTTCTCTATTCTATAAGGTTTCACATCAGAAGGTTCATCTTTATGCTCTGCATCCTTGTGATTGGCACATACCCTTCTGGACACTCTCTCATCTTAATTTTAGGAAATCCTAAATTGAAACAAAATGCAAAAAAGTTCCTCCTCCACAGTAAGGGCTGTCAGTGAGAGAGAACTTTGATCGGTTCAAAAGAACCCATGATTCAATGACTTACCCACGCATGCGACACTTCTCTCAGCCAGACAAAGCAGCCTGTTCATAAATATACAAAACATCCCCTTCAGGCTGTTTATCCAGCCTGAGGCATTTTTATAGATTTGGTACTTTTTCAAACAGTTAAACTGATTTTCAAAGCACAACATATGTTGATGGATTACATCAATGTCAGTATCCTGGTTATGATTTTGTGCTATCATCTTGCAAGTTGTTACCACTGGGGAAAAGTGAGTAAATGGTTCGGGAGTCTTTCTGTATTCCTTCTTAAAAATGCATTCAAATCTACAGTGATTTCAACATAAAATGTTTGATGAAAAAGAAAAGCACATGTTTGAACTTGTGATGTCAGAAGGATACATGAATGCTGTATGGTCCATGTCTATCGATGCCTAGTCTTAGATGGTTTATCCTGACCTTAATGGGCTGACTATTCATTTCTTGTCTACCTGGATATTATTTCTGCTCTGTTTGTTGGAGTCACAGGCAATGGAGCCATTCTTTCTCCTCAGATCACAAATGAAGTGAGAACAAGCAGGTCTTCTCCATCCTTATAAGCATATTCTCCTACTTCATCCTGCAAAGAACTTAGATGCCTTGGTGACATGTCCAATCAACTGATAAAAGGGGAGACAGATGGAGGAGGAGGAGGAGGAATGGAGGACTGAATGCTTGTTTTCCATTTTCCCTAGCTGTGCACTCTGAACAGACAATAACTTGCAAAGATGTTTCATTTTGTATCTGTGTGCCTGACTTTGAGACTCTTTCAACCAAGGACCGTAATTTGGAACTCCTCCTGCATTGCATGGCCTCCGAAGGAAGCAACATCAGTAGGTGGGTGAGCTGGGGGTGTCTCCATCTGCTTGAATTCACAAATGCATTTTCTGTTTGATTGATGATGTTGAATACTAAGATGATTGATAGATAGATAGATAGACAGATAGATAGACAGATAGATAGGGATAGATAGAGATATAGAGATATTATAGATATTGATATACTTGTATATTTTCAAAACAGCTTCAGAACACTTTCACTTCCAGACAAGTAAATAAAGTCAAAAATGTTTTTAAGCTTAGCTATAACTTGTAGTTCAGGCGTGATGATGCAAAGTAGGTTGAGGTTTAGATTTGTCAATTACCAGTAATAGGAACCCAAATACAGCTTTTCTAAGCCAAGCCATGCAGGCCTGGTTATAATACACCAATGAAGGATTTTGCATCAGAAGATTCAGGGACGTACTTATCTTCTTGGGCATGGGAACTAAGAGCTGAGGGTACTCTCAGCTTCCCACAGGTTTCACACTTCATTCCCCAAGGAGCAAAATAACCATCTCCATCTTCCTGCTATCTCATGTTCCAACGTCCCACTAGGTAGGAAGGTTTGTAGCTAATCACACACTCCGGAAGTCAGCTGTGGGAAGGTCATTTGTATCCTGGATGTAATTATTTCTTTTGATTGGGGGAAAGGACAAGGAAAAGTCACTTTTATTTTTCTCACATCTCAAATACAGGGAGTATCCTGTTCCCTGAATCTGTGATATGTGTACCTGAAAGAGTGGGAGCAATTGCAAACATTCAGAGAGAAATTTGTCAGTATACAACTCTTATGTTTTTTTTTTTTTTTTCTGGTATTAAATTCTGATTCTATTTCAAGCAATTCCTGCTTCAATAATGTTCCCTAATTAGATAAATATTAAGGTATGACTACCATTGTATGCTGTTATCAAGAATTGTTTTAAAAAAGAGTTCATAATAAAACAAACTATTCTAAAAACATTTTCATTGTCTACTTTCCTAGAAGTATATTTCTTCCAGAAATGTTGCCTAGCTGTTGAGTTGATGTGTATTGGGTAGGACACTAATTGCTCAAATTTAGAAGCAAAACAGACTGAGCCTTTGCCTCTCTGGAGCCACGCTCATCTGCACTCTCCAGCCTTGCCAAATTGCTTTGTCCTCGTCGAGCAGTGGGTTGACCTCTATCATGGTGCAACAGCTTTTTGTACTCACTCTTGTACTTTTAGAGATGGGGCTGGACATTATGGCCCTGGGGCGTCTTGGCTGTGGAATAACACGCCCATAGGTGAGGCTGGCTGACTGCTGATTGCAGGATGTGGTGGTGCCACACCTCCTCTACATCCTGTGGCTTCCCAAGGAGATTCAACACCCACTGCTCAGTTAAGTGGCTTCTGGCTGTGGCTTCCAAATAGACTCTGTGCCAGGAGGCAGACTCTCACTGAAACGGAACCCAGCAGTCTTATTCCACTCCACTTTAGATCAGGATTCAATGAGCAGCTCCAAATCAGGGGAGAAGGGCTCTCTTACTCTGTCCCACTCTCTATTCTGACATTGGCTCTTTCAGTCCCCAATCCAGGGGTTTTATACAGTCTCCACTGACTGAAGATGATAACAGCAACAAAGAAGGCTAAATCTTGTGTGTTGATAGAAATAAACTTTTAAGACTATAAATGTTGGTCAGCCATGGTGGCTCAAGTCTGTAATCCCAGCACTTTGGGAGGTTGAGGCGGGTGGATCACTTGAGGCCAGGAGTTCGAGACCATCCTGGCCAACATGTCAAAATCCTGTCTCTAGTAAAAATTCAAAAATTAGCCAGGTGTGATGGTGTGCACCTGTAATCCCAGCTACTCAGGAGACTGAGGCAGAAGAATCACTGGAATCTGGGAGGCAGAGATTGCAGTGAGTTGAGATTGCACCACTGCACTCCAGCCTGGGTGACAGAGTGAGACTCCAAAAAAAAAAAAAATATAGTCATAATTTGAATGTTAAACGCAGTTCAAAAGTCTCACAAATAGAAAATGCCTTTTAAATTCTCACTCATTCAAATGTGACAATTGTTTGAAGATACAATGCTCCAGGCCAGAAGGTGCTAGGAAGACACCTAATGTCTACCATCTGTCTTCTCGAGGCTGATGACCAGGCATCCTCGGTGCTCCGGGCAGTTCAAATGTTATGCCCATCGTGTGTTTAAGTGCAGGCATACTTCTCATGCTATGGATATTCTGATTTTAGGTTTGAAATACATAGTTTCCATAACTTTTGTCTTTGTAGAGTTATACCTCTTTGGGTGAGAGGAGAAGCAGGTAGTTAGAAATATGCAAAAGAGAAAGAAACCAGCCAAACCATTGAAATTCACATTGGCAATCAAAGGGGTGACAGATGTTACATACAGATGGCACCCATAATGGAGAAAAATCCAAATGACGAGGTCTGGGAGACCCACATGTTTTAAAGAGGGTGTTGCTAGTGAAGGAGTTTGGTGTTAGACTGAACATCATATTAACACAAACTTGAGATTGGTAGAAAATTCATTTGTTATTAATATTCTTTGTTACCTAAAAATTGCAGACTTTCTAGGAAAACTTTATGCCAAGAGAAGATTATATACTAGGAAAATTTCCTCAATGAGCTGAAAATGCTAAGATTTGGGGGAGAGTCAATACGAATTCAAGATAGCTCATGGACATTTGTTTCACTGCTGTCTTCACTGCTGTCTTTCTAAACAAAGCTAGTCTCTCTCTCACTCATTAATACAGCACCCTCTACCTTGGTAGGATTAAAATAACAATTGTTTTTAAGATGTGATATAAACATGTGGATTCACATCTGTGACATCTGGATCTACTTAATCTTTTTGACTGGGAATCAGGAATTGGTAATTGGTATCCTTAAATGTAAAATGTATTTATTATATCAATGAAGTGTGGGTCTCCTTTGATTATTTTTGGCATTTTATATCATTTCTATTTTGAACATTTCTCCACAAGATCATCAACATAATATTAAATCAAAAATTGACTTAAACTTCTGAAGACAAATCAATTTTTTAAATGACTAAAGATTCATTTTGTTGAAACTTCAACATTTCAGAGTAAAAGTGATACAGGGTAACTCTGTTTTTACTTCTGAAGTTGGGATGCATGGTCTTCAGAGAGAGTATCACTTCCATGACTTAAACTCTCTCCCCTCCATGGATCGGTGTAAGTACTGCAAGGTAAGCACACACGTAAGTGTGCCTGGTGATGTTTGAATTTGGGAGTGTGCAGGGACTAAGTCCTGTAGCTAGACTGGACTTGGCACTTGGTGGGCACCACTTGAATAACCCAAATTCCAGAACTGCTGGGGAAATTTCAGATTCTTCTGAGGATGAACAGATGAAAAGCAGTGTAGAAAATAAACAAGTGGCTAATAGTGGACTAGGATCTTACATCACTAAATACATGGAATGTCCTCTGGCAAAAAATCCACCCATTTGAACAGCACATGGTGCATTTGTGATTGTGAATTAGTGAGTCTTACTTCACTTGAAACCCAGGCTGGTGGCTTCTAGAAACATTGACCAGTTATAGATTTGGTCAGGAAGTTTGGTTTCATGATTAATGTTCTCCAAACTACCACTGCTTATCTGCTAAAATACTTGAAATCCGTGAACTAAGAATTTATGCCTTTGATCATGAGGTATGATGTTTTCAGCATCATTGGTTGATGATGGGTCTGCAGAAGCGGCTCTATGGGATGAGAGGGAACCTTGAGTGTGACGTTTTAGATTGGGAGGCTGAGTGGATTTGTGTAGTCCTGTTGAAAGACAGGTTATTAGTCCACAGGCAAGCCACACCACTGCGTTCACAAAGCCAACAACACAGTCTCCTCAGCTCTCCTCCCTAGAACCGCACCCGTTTATTTTGGTGACTTAGGTAACTTTTGTGCAATGCAGTAAATACTTTAATGAGCTGAGCCTCCATTTCTTCATCTGCAAAATGGGATTAAGAATAATACATAACACAAGCTTGGCTAAGCTTCTTCATCATTGTGAGCACAAATGAATGTAACCTCCAGGTAATGGGAACCGTAGTAAGTACTGTCACAAAGAATCTCCAGCAGCCCCTCCAGAGAAGAGGGGAGTGCACAGGAGGGAACACGATGAACAATAGAGGGTCCTAATTAAGAGCCTGATTTGCAATCTAGATCCACCACTAATGAGCTAAGTGACTTGATGAGCCTGAGCCTTACATTTCCTCACCTTCGTAATGGGGTTAGGAGTGATTACAAGCTTAATGAGAGGAGCTGAGGGGTTACTGGAACCAAGTTCCCAGCACAATGCTTGCATACTGCCATATTTGTTTTTAGTTATGTTAAGCATAGGAAACTGCTAGACTTTGATGACTTTTTGTCTGTAACAATGACAGTTTTGTATGCTTCTTCCTCATAATGTCACAGGTTTTGGAGGACAGCTAATTCTAGAAAAAGGAAACAGCACATGCAAAAGTACCTGGCAAAGAAAGGAAGCAAAGACCCTGCAGAGAATCATGCACAAGTGAAGAGAGGAAAGGTGAAGGGAGCAATTAAAAGGTATATGGAGCTGCTTTGCTGCAGTACAAAATGACGCCAGGACTGCAGCACCTTCAAGACACAGGCTCATTCTCACCTGTGTTGTGTGTTGGCTGTGGGTGTACGGCAGCCCTGTTACTGTTCACACTGCTGCAGAGCAGCTCCTGTTTGGGACAGGTCAGGGGAAAGAGTGAAAACGATGGAGACGAGGAGGTCTAAAGCTTTTGTCATATGCAGTTAGTTGCATGTCAAGCAGCCAAGCCCAATGTATAAAGGAGAGATATGGAATTCCTTAGAGAAGAGTAGCAAATATTTGGGAATAAAATAATCCTACCATATGGGAATATAAAATGGTGCAATCACTATGGAGAGTAGCTTGGCGGTTCCGCAATAAGCTAAACATAGAATGACTACGTTACTCAGCAATTCCATTCCTAGATATGCACCCAAGAGAACTGAAAACAGGAACCGGAACAGATACGTGTACACCCACGTTCACAGTGGCATGATTCACAATAGTCAAAAGGTAAAAGTAAAACAAATGTCCACTAACAAATGAATGCGGAGACAATGTGCATGTTAACACAATGGCATACTCCTAAAAAGGAATTAAGTTTGGATACATGTCACCACATGGATATACCCTGAAGACGTGATGTTAAAGAAATAAGCCGCACACAAAGGACAAATATTGCAGAGTTCCATGTATATAT